AAGACAAACAAGTTGCTGTTGGATGCACAAAACAAGCAGTGTGAAGTTGTCTCTTTTTGCTCCAGGGTAACAGTCAGGGTTATTTCTACTATTTTCCATTGTACGAATCAGACAGTCCAGTTGTGGAACAAGTAGTTTTGAACAAACCCTGACATTGAATAGCTTTAGAAAATAGTTTTTTGTCAAAGCTCACTGAATAAATAACCCCCCCCCCCCCCCCAAAAAAAAAGAAGCTGTGGTTTCCGTGCCACAATGACATGTATTTTCTTCACAGAGGCTGACTCATGCTGACACAGGCCTGGCAGGATTGTCAGCTTGTGTTCATCTACTAAAATGCACTCCATCCTCATGGTCCCTGTCTTTAGTGTGGAGAGAGGATATTTAACCCCATGTCATAATCCTAGCATGTGTCGCACAATATATTCCATCTTCGTCTGTCCTCAGTTAACACACTGCAGTATGTTATCATGTGTGTCCTCTCTGTGCTCCATCTCAGCTCAGTGACAACGATCGAGTGATGTGTGAGGATAAGAACTCACAGCAAAGGGAGATATGTTGTAGTGTCTGATGACTTTGTTGTCAGAGAATTAACAGGAACAGTTGTGGTTGAACACGGACTGTACTGTACAGCAGACAACAATGCCTACACCACTTCATTACGTGTGCCTATGAAATATAAATAAGGGGAAGAAATGTGGACAGACTTACCCTCCAATGTTTGCCTCGGTTTTCACTTCCAACTGCCCAAATATGTCTGAAAGGCTCGATGCAAGTTAGGTTGAAATCTTAGGTTTTCAGGTATTCACTAATATATGCATGTGAACGTTGAACAGTATTTTCTTGTTATCGCTTTTTATTTGTATATTTTCTCAGTAATTATTTTACTTGTGTCACTACAGGTCTTCAAACAAGGACGGGGGGGATTGGGGAGGGAATGGGGATTATAAAGGGTGTGGTTGATTGTATCATATGATTCTATATTTTGTTGTCACACTACTTATAATAAAAAAAGAACATTTCATGGTCAGTATCTGGACTGAGGATCGTCCTGAGTTATTCTTACTTAAAATGGATGTTCTACTGTGACCATACAATGATGCATGTGCAGAGTCAGGACATTTTCACCTGCTGATCTTAAATCTAAGTTTATGGAGGACCACACTTCACTCTCTCTTCCACCATTTGAAACTTCACTCATGACACCTTGAAGGTCTACAGTAGCCCATCTATAAGAAACTCTGACCAGTGGAGCAGTATGGGTGGGGGGGGCAAGGTCCACCATGTCCCAGAGAGATGTGCCAATCTATAGTTTCACTGTTTGAAGATACCTCAACACCACCAGTTACCTTGATTTGACCCCTGCTGGTGACTTTGACCTCAAACCTCTTCTGTGCACAAAGAATGTTTACCAGTTAGATGATATTCATATCAAACTCAAAGAATGTCCTTGCATGCTTGCACTACACACTACCGTTTTACTCTTGAGGAAATCCCCTCTCTACAGTATGATCCACCATGCCGCCTTGATATGTAAATATACCCCCCCAGAGACATAAAGGTTAAACATACATTGGGGCTGAAATTAATTTTGCTGACCACGGTTGTGTGCATACAGCATGTTCTGTGGGCTGAGATTAAATCGTTAGCCTCTGCTGTCAGAAATGACCTCTGCTTATCTTCACTAATTACTCACGACTCTCGTTTTACAATTGGATAATAGAGGGAGGAATATGACCACTAGAGGCGCTAGCTTCACATTTACCCCTTGATTTTCCTTCCTGTTAAATTCCACTTGCACAGAAGACCTGATAATAAAGCGTCACCTAAGGTTGTAAACTTCAAATCTCTACATGCACGATGACGCACTGTGCAACATGAAGCTATGGGGGGGTCATCCTCAGTGATGGCAGGTTACATGGTGCAGGAACACGGCGGATCTTAGGACCCATGGGTTCATCCCCTGTCGAATAATAAAAGTTGGGGTTATTATCTGTGTGTGTGTGTGTGAGTGTGTGTGTCTGTGTGTGTCTGTGCTGTCGACGTGAGACAAACCCAGCCAGTCAGTGTGTTTCCAGCTGTTTGTGTGCAGCTGCTGTGCGCGCGCTGCAACAACAGGCTCATCCAGCTGTGGACGCTCAGCCGCTGGGTGTCTGCCTCAGCCGGGGGGAGGCCGGAGTGGGCTGGTCCGCTCGTGTTTTCCGGAAGAGAGGGTGTGAAACATGGGACAGCACCTCAGCAGCTGATCCCACCGCACGCCTCGCGGAGGAAGTCAGTGCTCTGATGCGTGTGAGTGAGTGTTGAGCAGTGGGGGCTGTGAGTGTGTGTGTGTGTATGTGTGCGCGCAGAGAGGGAATCCACAACCTTGTCACCGAGCGGGACATCCCTCCCCATCCCTGTGACCGGAGCGATCAAAAGGGGTTCGAACACACCACAGCACTCGTCTCTGGGTGAGTGAAACTTTTGAGATCATGTCCGTTCTCGTGCGTGTTGGGTTTGTGCTGTGTGCGTGTGGAGACGTGAAGCTGAATGTGCTCCCGTGCGACGCAGAGCTGTCTCCGTGTGCACGTGTTTTATTGTTGCTCAGGCGCGGGCACACGAGGAAATTGCAACCTCTGCAGTTTGTTGCTCTGGAATTTTATTTCTCCCACTTTTCCACATGCACGTGCACGCGAGGGAGAAAGGGCACTGTGCAGCGTGAGATTGGACGCTGCGCTGAAATGCAGCGCGCACCCACGGTAATAATGTGTCATGCACCTGACGTGAGATGATGGTGTTGCCTCGCAGTCCGTATTCATGTGTGGGTTTAACTGTAGTGCTGTGTAAGCTGCGGTCCGGGGTCCCATCAGGGACGCTGGATGAAAATCCAAGGGGCCCTGGTCCAAGCATTTCTCAGGATTCTTTTTGTTGGCTCTTTGGGGATTAGAGAAGCCAGATACATAGTTATTCCTGACAAATTGATTAGTCTGTGGAAGGGAAATGGACCCGCAATGTCTGTGTCTATTGATTAATGGCCCATGAGGAAATACAGGAAACATTGTATGGATCCAGTTTCCTCAGATAAGAGGATTTACAGCCTTTATCAATGTTCAAACATTCATTGCAAATTGAATAGTGTTGGATCTTGGATGATTGGTTAGATGAAAACAAGTGATTTTTAAAGATCTTATCTCTAACTCAAGAAATGTACTGTATGACTGACAATGACACCCATGCTGCTTTCAGACATGCACTGAACTCTGGGTAATCTCCTGTAATTATCCGGAGGGGCTGTATCTGAGAATATAAATGTCAGAGTCAGTTGCTGAGGACATTTTCCAAAGTTTCTCAGGCAGCACCATGTAAAAACTCTACAAATGAGCCCATGTGAGAATACAGCAGGAATGATGCTTTAATGATGTTTACACTTGACAGGCACAATACAAAAAACAACAACAATAGAACACAAACATCTCAAGATGGAAGAGAGGTGCTATACACGTAGAAGATACTGAATGTCAACGAGATTCAAGACCTTTTTGGTGAGAGGAGCTGATGCCAGTGTTGATGTGCTGTAAACAAAAACACCTGATCCCCACAGTGGAATTAATGCGTTACTTCCTGCCTCCCATATGCTGCGCCACCCCTCGCCTGCACGCTACTGAGATGTTGTTATGAACGTCTCTGTGCAGAGAATCTACTGCTGAGTTCTTCATTTTTGAACCACAATTTATAAAGATCATGTCTGAAAAGAGCTCAATAAAGTGATTCTGACTGCCGCGACTGCTTTAGGTAAGGACTATACCAGTTGGAGTGAGGGTATCTGAGGTTTTCTCTACCCAAAACACAAAAAAGACCAACTCTATGTCTGAGAAGGACTTCATCTCAGCCTCAAGTGGTGCATAGCTTAGCCTGTTCACAAGTTATTTCATCCCTCAGCCATGAGACGCAGGGCTGAATCCATCCTTTTTGAATTTACTTGAAGGACTTCAGATTGAATCACCTCCTCCTGTGCTTCACAGTGGAAAACAATCAGTGAGTACTTGAACGACTTGCAGCAAATTACTGCTGCGTCTCCACTTTTGTTCTTTACCACGCCTAATGAATTTGTCTGCATAGTGTTGCCAGAATGCCAGGAATGGGACTGCGATGAATCGTAGTTAGACAGTGCTGTGTCAGGACTGAGAGGAAGAGACAACAGATGATTGATGTAATGTCTCGAGTCAATCTAACTTGTGTTTGCATGTTTTAATTATCAACACCCGGTACCACTTCTGTTTCTCCGGCCCACTTTCCATTTCTAAACGTTCTGACTGCTGTAACCCCCCCCCCCACTTCCTCTTGTTGGTTTTGGTTTGAGATTTGACCCAGCTACTGAAAAAGAGGACAAGTCAACAGCTCTCAGCTCCTTAAAGCCCCTCTGGGAAATCACTTTAATGAGTCGTGTGGAGAGAGAAATCACTGCATGCTTGTGTGAATGTGTGCAGGTGCACTGTATGTGTATGTTGTCATGACTACATTAGTCTTTAGGTAAAAGTCATATTATATCACACAACAGCCGCACCCTGAGAGTCAAACGGACAGGGAGCGTCTCTGGTCCGCGATTGTTCTGTGCTCGTTGGTGAATGCTGCTGTACCCTCTCCTATTGCAGCAATTTTCTGTTTTCATCATTGATTCCTCCCTCTGCAGAGGTACATGCAATTTGCAGGAAGAACTTTTCTTCATCGCAGTCAAACCAAAAGACTTGTATTTGTTGGTTGTGAAAGTGGTTGATGCATCACTCGAGTAATCCTCATCAGGGGGCTGCACTTGTGATTGTGTGTGTAGGGGTGGGTGGGAGATGAAGGATGGATTCAAAAGATAGAAAATAGAACTCCATGTATGACCTTGACCTAAGCGTTGGTAGGATGTGATGTTTTGTCTTACATCCATTAAATGTGTGAGATGTACGTTTTAACAAAAGCTGCAGTAAAACCACTGCCTGTAATTAAGGTTCCGTGTCATTGGTCTTATGCTTATCTTGAAGACAACCTTAACGAGTCATTTTGAGAATGCATTAGCTGGAGAGCAGTGTAAATGCTTTCACAGAGCAGACGACACCTAATGTGCGACTCAAGTGTGTTTTCCAGTGTGTAGTGTTAAGACTCAGCTGTGTGGAGAGCTCTTTACTTAATGTCTGTCAGGCTTTCATGTTACAGCTGTGAGTCGCAGCCATACCTTCTGTAGTGTCTCAGCTCGAAGTGTTAATGCTGTGGAATCAGCTCCCATTGTGCTCCAATGCGTTAGTTGATGATAACAGTTTATGTTTTGGGACCTCGTGAGAAACAGATGAGTAAGGTTGTATTGTTTGTGGCTGAATAGATTAGTCTTGCTGGCCGTTACGGCACAAATTGTTAAGATAACTTTGCTTCGAGTAATATCTGACTGTACAAATCCAATCGCCTGCAACACTGCTGACATCTAGTCATTTTTGTTACCAGCTTCTCATCTGCCATTCTGCTTGAATACTTTTTTACCAAATATGTCACAAATAAACTGTGGGAACTGTTGTTTTTTTTAATATTAAATAAGATTTTAAGGTGTCGTAAAGTGCCTTGAGATAATGTTTATTATGATTTGGCACTATTTGAATTGAATAAAGCAACCTATGACAGAGACATAGGATGCAATTTGGCCAGTAAGTACAGCTATCCTGTTGGAAATCAGTCTGTTGGTCTGTGAACATATTGTGAAGGGACATTATTAGAGTACCCAAGTGTACATTTCTTAAAATGGCACAATGTCTTTGATTCACTTGATTGTCAATCATGGACATCTTCTAGAACAATCATAAATTAAGATCAGCAGATCATCCACCCATAATAAAAAGCCAGCGTTACCTATTGGCAGTGTGGAGTCTCAAAGAGATGAAAATATTTACCAGTGTATCATTTCAGTAGTGTGAAATGTGGGCAGCCTGGTGGTCCAGTTGTTGGCCGTTGTGCGGTGCATGTTCTCCTCATGTCTGTGTGGGTTTTTTCATCCTCCTACATTCCAAACATATGCAGCTTAGATTAATTAGTGACTCGAAGTTGAACGGATGTCTTGACATTTTTTTTTTACTTGGGATCATTTGTTACACGTGAATGTGAGTGTGAATATTAGTTTGTCTCAATATGTCAGCCCTGAGATATGCTGCAGTATGCTGGTGACGTTACGAACGTGTCCTGTCACCCTGTGTCAGCTGGGATTTCCTCCAACCTGGTGAATTTTTCTTTTTCTAAAACTTTGTGAGATAGGTTGTTAGCCTTGGTGGAGGTATGTGCTCTGCCATCACCCTTCTGGTTGATGTGTGTGCTCCTGAAGGCTGAATTCTAAAAACTCTGTTGGTCCACCAACTCTTGAGCTATAATTTATTGTTCAAACTGTCAGAACTCACAGAAAAAGGTTAATAATTACATTATAATTTGCCTGTGTGGCTGTTAGACTTGTTGACGACAATGGCAAAACCAAAAGTATTTCCCTGTGTGTGTGGGTCTCTATGTGTGTGGGTGTGGGGTGCTGTAGGTGACTTGGATGCAAAGTGTTTACTCCTCTGAGGTATAAATAGCTATAGAGTTGTATAAATGCACTCGAACAGCTATTTTCCACGAAGGGTGTTTGTGTCCTATTACTTCTACTATTAAAAGCCATGAGGAATTAAAAGAATTCCTGGCTACCTGCAGTCACAATCCTGCCATAGATCATGTGGCAACTTGTTGTGATTATCCTGGAAAAATGCCATGTCCAGCTGCATAGGGAGAAGGTTTCAAACAGATGGTTATACTTTGCCTCCACTGGTTTTTTCACAGTCAGCACACATGTAATTTCCCTTGGATGTAACCACTTCAGACATAGGCGAAATGTAAACCTTCAGTCTCAGAGGGGAACAGACACCCAGGGAGTTGTGACACTCAGTTATTCCTCTCAGTCAGAGCAGTGAGAGAGAAACAGGAAACACAGTTTGGTGGAGAAAGAGGGTTGATTTGAATTTAGTCCACACTGCTCTTATCATCTGTCCAGCACAACCTGGGTACGTGCATGCAGTGCTGAGGGTACCCTAGAGATGGACATCTTTACATTGCTGCCAGAGTCAAAGAATGCTGATGCGGAGATTCTCTCTTTGGCTCGATCAGACAAGCACAGTTGCATCTTGCATCATCATCATTTAGACTTGATCGATTGGTCTTCAAAATAAAATTGTCCAAAACAAACACATATTTATGGAAAGAATAGAGTAGAATGTCATCTTGCATTTCCATGCACATTTATGCAAAATTTACACAGGTTCTTATGCAGCCTAACGGCCTTTCTCTTGAAGGTCTTGTTTTTGTTTTTTTTTACTTTATTGCAACATGAGTATGTCATTGAGCAGCAACAAACGCACCATTACCCTTGGAAGTAAAGACAAGTGCTTTGCATAGAAAGGGGATTCTGAGGACAGAGGAGAAA